CCTTGTTGATCCTCATCGCAATTTAAGGAATATTCCGCAGCTACACAACGAGCAGGTTCTATGTGCGCTGAGGTCAAGGTCGTGAGTTAGGCTAACTCGAGCTTCCTGCTTCCCACTACAAACTGCTTCTGGGCGCATCCCAACACGAAAGAGCGGACCGTGTTGGCTGCGATCAAAGAACTTCTATAAGAAATTGGTCCTCCAAGTCTCCAAGACTTGAAGCAGTGACATGTCCAGCGCTTGTCGGCTTCGTCGTCAGCCTCGCAATGAGAGCCGAGTAGATTCGGCTTTTGACCCCAACAGCAACACAAACAATTCCAAAGTAAAAGCCTGCAATCCCAAAGCGCGAGATTCAGTCAAACAACGGGTTCCCAGACGATTGTCTGGGAGTAAGTTCTTTGCACCCTTACCTGCAGATTCTTCCGGGACATCCAGAAGCCCGACATTTGACAGACGCCGGAACCGAAATAGAACACCAGCCAAAGCAATGTCAAGGAGTGGAAGTTGAACCCCGACACAGGGCGCAAGGCATCTGCTCACTGCGATACCGACACCTGCAGACAGATACAGCGGAGCACCTGTACACAAAACAATCCGACAGCAGGACTCCACAACTCGGGAAATCGGAACTGAGAAACCTGATACCGAACATCGCAACACCGTGTCCTGAAGAGACTCTTGAACAACCGATATCGGGCAGTGGGATGACAAAGCGTGAGAGTGCTGGTCTGGAGCGAAAAGGTGGCTGCTAGTATGGGAAACAACTAACTGGATTTCGGAAAATCACCGTGTTTTTGCATGATGCATTGAGGGGCCGATGCGTCAAGACTCGAGTCATGTAGCACATCTTCAGAATTCTCCAAATCAACCACGCGACGTTGACAACAATCCCTTCAACATGAAAAATGTCGGTCAATCGCGCACACTCACCGAGGAAAGCACAGAAGCACCGACACGCATTGATTGGCAAATTTTCGAGTTTGAAGTCCAGGAAATGCTTGCTTCTCGTCCGATGGAAGATTCGCTGGGAGCTCAGGGACAGAAGCAATTCCACTGCCCTTGCTTCCACAGCATTGGTGACGGTCGTTTGGGCTCTCCAGCAAGGGCATGTGGTCTACCAAGTGGTACGATTTTCAGCTTGGAAGTACCGTACGCAAGCCTCTTGCAGGATGCATCTGCTTAAGTGCCCTTCGCCCCACCCCGGTGAGCTGCAAATCGGCACATTCTGAAGCGTAGGCATATCCCATCAGCTAAGTCATGGTGTCGCAAAGGTGGCCACCGCCTCCAAAGATGCATGCGCAAAGGTCTGGAGTCTTTCCACTGGCACAGTCCCCAGAGTGCATCAGGGTTGCAGATTCGATGTAAGGCCTTTGTGCTGCTTGTGTGGGTCGGGATGACTGCTGACAGCGTGTTTTTTTTTCCGGCAGCGGCTGCAAGTTCATATTGCCATGTCCTGCACGGGTCGAAACTTCAATGGACGAATCGGGCTGGACACCTTAGTTTCATTGTAGACACATCCAATGCGAGTTTTCGGAAAGCCCATGTCCTATCGTCGCCTCACAGCGTCGGATCGTAATCGTCCACAGAGTCGAAATCCAGCAAAGGATCGTTCTTTTTGCAAGAGTTTGCTTTGGACAACAGCGCAGGACGACCGATGCAGACGTCCTCTATACTTTATGCCAGTGACTGGCCCTTTCGCGGATACAGCATCATGGTCCAGCCTGAATGCCTCCCTCAAAAGTGTTGGATGCTAGGTTGTGAACTTGTGACGAGACCGCATCAGTACATGCAGTTGTTGCGTACGAATGCTGGCTGGATCTTGTCGTGTCGGAATTGTCGGAATCCACAGCACCCAGCTGAGCGAACTTCGCGCCGCACGAACGAGCACCAAAGATGAACGCTTGGCTGCTGCATTTCTGTGAAGAAAGGGGGTTGCTCGTGTTGGCGCTTGTTTTGGAACATCGGAAAGTTCGTGTGCTCTTTGCGTCCTGAACTGCCAGCGAGATTTACGTTTGGCATGGGAGCTTCCAGCACCCCGGCCCGAAATCCAGGAATCCAGTAGCTTGATTGTTTCTCACTGACTTTCATCCTCCTTTTCGCCCCTAGAACCGGAAGCTTCTCAGGAGATTGCCTGCGCAGTGTCACTGGTCACAACCAGTGGGCCGGTGCCTTTGATTCTCGAGTCCCAGGCTGTAGAGCTGTGTCCAACGCATCTGGAGTATATTTGTCATTCAAAGCAACTACCCCCGAACTTTCCAAGGCCGTTGCTCACTAGGATCGATTGCACGCGTTCTTCGGCTGACGGATGTGTTCAACCACTGTTCAACAAGATCCTGGTCCAGAGATGGGATTCTTGCAATTCGAAACTTGCCTAAGGAGTCGATATGATGAATCGCTGGCTAAACTTTCTCTCCTGAGCCCACCCGTCTTGAACTACCTTGCAATTGAATGATCCTGAAAACATGAACGACTCGAACCTGAGACGTCCCGCTGTTCAATTCAATGCAATGTTTGGAAGGGTGCCAATTCAACTGGCAACTGCAGGGATTTGCCGTTCAATCCCGGCAGAAGTCGCTCTCCTTGCAAAATCAATCGCCCCCAAGTAGGCAAAGCGGCACTCTTCAGGTAGGGAGACACACAGGTGAAGACGGCCATGCAACGGCAAGTTCCAGAGGGCGAATCAAGTCTTCCACTTCAGATACTCCCGACAGATGGAAATGCAGGTGCGATGTGTGGCTTTCGCGCCGTGAGCTCAGGGCTCCAGCATGCGGCCACGCTTTTGGTGGGTTTTGAGCTTTGGGCACTCACGGTCTGAAAGGTGAGTCTGCAGTTCGGGTTTGGGCGTAGCTTGTGACTCACGGACTTCTTGCAGAACATCTTCTGGTGTGCCAGGTTGTTGTTTCATTTGACGATTCCTCAGTTCTGTTAGAAACCCAGTGCAGTTGATACTGTAACTGAGCTGTTCTCCGAAAAGTTGGCTGCTCAAAGATGTCATGAATCTTGCGACCTAGAGCATGGTCTTGAAACTATGGACGTCTTGAACCCGTTCTGGATGAACTGAGTCTCGATTGTGACCTCTACTCAGAAGATCTAGCTATTCTAGATGATGGCAAAGGCTTATTTATGGTTTGGGCTGGTGTCGTCACGGGCGTTGCACTGGTGACTGATGCTACATGAACTAGCAGTAGTAAGTCAGGCGCCGATGCCCTAAGCCTGCAAGCTCCTGGCCTGCAGGCCAAGCGGACCTCTCTGATGCGAGCTCTGGACGTTGCAAAAGCATCCTTTTCGTGCTGCTGCCAAGCATTGCTGCCATCCTGGTTCTTCTGGCAGAAGCTTGAATATCGAAGCGGAAAGATTTCACAAGTCTGTTCACACTGCACAAGGCATTGAACATGCCGTCTATCCTAAGCTGCTTGGTTGCTCCGAGCGAGAAACTGCACACCCGAAAAGTTGAGCCTGCCATTGCTAGAAGATAATTTCTGGTCGGTATTGGTCGGCTTGGTTGTTCATTTGCACTGAGAGCGCTGCTTCTATTTCTGTGGGTGATAATCCATAGGCAGTCCCTTAGCGTAAGAAGCATTTTCTTTGGTCTCCATCATGGCCATTGCTTCGCGTTTGGTAGCAACGCGTAGCAATAACTTGTCACCAGCAGCTGTGAAAGAGGCAGGTCCTGATCGGACATTTCTGGATTTTGCAGAAGCTGTGTATGCCGCTCCTTTACAGCCATGCTGCTGAAGGCTCCCCCCGCTGTCCTTCAAATGAAGTGCTGCGGGAGCCAACCAGGCTGCAGAGCACATGTATGGGATTCTAAGCACTGCAGAACTTGCAACAGTTTAGCCCGGGTGTTGGAACCCCTGACGCTTTACCACACAGCGCAAGCAAAGCCACCTTCATTCATGTACCGTCCAAATTTGCTACTTGGGGTAGATGAGCGACGTAAGACCATCTCTGGTCACTCTGGTCTTTCGGCCCCGTGCACACGAGTCTCTGTTACTGGCATCCCACAGTGCTTTGCAACACTGGTTGCGCCGAAATTGACGATTTAAAGAGCTGACAGCATGCTTCAGCCAGCACGGTGGGGGATTGCCTCTTGCAGACAAACATCGGAAAACAACCATACCGTAGCTGACTTGAGCTTTGCTTCTTGCCTCTTGAAAGCGGTTGAACGCCGCAGGCGATGGCTTGAGACGCAAAAGCCGTTAGTCGAAGGTTAAAACAGTCCCAATGGACCAGTTTCGCGATCAGGGATGCGACATGTCACAAGATTGACTGCAACAGACCGATTGTCGAGACGATCGATGTTTTTCTCGACAACCACTGCTGCACTTCTGTTGAGATGTGCAGCGCACTGAGAAGCTGCAATAGCTAGTGGTACAGGGAAGCAGTGTAATAACCTGTGCTTCCAAGTGATGGTCCTACTGCTAGAACTGTCGGGAGCCGGGCCAGCATTGATGATGACGGTAACGCACCGTCGTAAGCCACACCTATTCCCAGCTGCTCTCTTTGGCAACACCGCTCACATGGCTGTATCTTGGCCAAACACTCAAAAGAGCACGAAGCATCACTGGCATTAATCACCCTATGTAAGGTAGCATAACCGTTGGTTTAAACATCCTTCGAATGCAATTAAAAGTGTACCGAGTTGATTTCGGGGTACTGTGAGGCCGTCTGGAGAACGGGAGAACGCGGTCGTTGCATACATGAAAACCCAGAGCTTCCAAGTAGGAGGAAGTGCACAATGCTCGCGGAGGCGGGCAAGCTTCTTGGAAGCTTTCGTAGCTCGAGAGATTCTGGGATTGAACTTGTTTGTTACCGGTAGCGAGCGAGATGGCATGTGTTTCTTTCTGCGTTGTAGCGGAAATCTACCCGTCCTGCAGCCACTGGCTCCGGACCGGGGTTTACGCCTCCGGATTCGGGTTCGGAACTTTCTGCGGCTTTGTCAGCTCTGCCTTGCTTTGTTTTCTTTACATCCTGTAGTAGCCCCCCCTGGTCCGAGCCAGGGCTTGCTGAACTTTGTCTACCAGGCTGGTTCTTTTCTTCGTCCCGCCCGATCAGCTTCGCTTTCCGGTCAGGACTTTTCGGATCCGCTGAGTATCGTTTCCCGCCAACTGCTCAGACTCCATCTGCGTTTTCTGGCTGGCTTTCGATTGGGACCTGGGCGGTTCGTTTGCTAGGCTAAGACTGTGCGAGTTTCGGTTCGTTTCACGTTCCTCACCTCCGGTACGAGTCCATTTCATGCTTGGGCTCGACGCCGTCGAGGACTTCGGGGCTGGGGTTTTCGATCTGGCCTTCCTTTCTGTCCTGACCTGCGGCTCAAGGCGATGACGAGCCCAGGCTCTGGGTTTCACTCGGTTTTGATTTTGTTCGGTTGCCTGTCTCCGGCACGCATCCCGACGCTGCGGTCAGTCCTCTTCCAGCGCCCTTCGGGTTTCTGTTGTTGCTTTACAGCTGCCGGTCTGACTGCACTGCTGTGGTCCGGTTGATGCGACCTGACTTGAGCTTCGTTGTTCCCGCTGTGGCTCAAAGCCATGTCTGGTTCCCCTGCGAACTTTTCATTTCGGCTACATCTTGTGCCGCTTGCTTCCTATCCGCGGGATGTCTGGTCCTTCACTGACTAATCCGACCTCGTTGCCCGGATGGACCATCGGTGGCCCAAGTCACTTCTGTTCTGCAACCTGTGACGATTTCGATGCCGCACTCAACACTCCGTGTCCGGGCTCCTCGTGGACCTGCTGCTTGCTGCGCGGTCCAATATGCAGGTTGAGGCTCCTGCGGCTGCCGATGACCCGCTTGGACCGATGCATACCTCCGGCCGGGCTGCTGTGAACGCGGCCCCTTTGACCAATGGGGCGCCCCGGATTTTGAAACCAGGACTCTCGTCAACCTTGAAGGTGCTGTTTCAAGACCCCGGCCAGAGCTTTCCCCATGGTCTCCAGCAAAGCAGTCGGCCTGAGGTGGGCGGGGAATCTCCCGCTTTGCCAACTTTACCAAGAAAAACGAGCCATGCCGCAGCCCACTCTGGATAGATTCGGGCTTGCCCCTGACGCCAGGCATTGAGGACATGGGCCTCCATGAAGTCCGCTATGTCAGGAGCAGCAAGGTTCCAGAATGCATGCGGTGCGCAGTGTTTGGGCGCTGACTTCCTGGCTTGCAACTGCTGGAGTGCCTTCGCGAGCTCGTCCCGTGTGATGTCGTACTGGTACACGTTGACTGCATGACAAGAATCGCTAGGACCTCCATTAACAACTTGCCAGTATCAGGAGCTTGCACGTGGCGCTGCGAAGTTGCGCTCGCTTGCGAGGTTGTTGGGGCGCATGCCGGCGGAGAATGTCAAAGATTGCCGAAGTGCAACCAGACCGTTCAAGGCCTCCGCGAGTAAGGCATCCATTCATTCGTTCTCGCCGCAGTTGCTTGCTGCCTCTTTGCACGACCTTGTGCATCCTGTCAAATTGAGACCAAGGACGCCAAGCCTGGGTGGTACCCCGCAGCAAGGACTTTCTGGTAAAAGGGCCAGAAGAAATCTGTCGCATGCGCCGGTAATGTTCCCGCATCTGCTTAATAGTGCCGACATGCCCTGGGTCTTCGGCGGGTGCTCCCAAACAGCTCGGACGCCTGATGTGAAAAATCTGTTTGCCAGCCTCGAGCAGGATGGTGTTGAGTTCTTGCGGCTGATAGGCACGGGTTTGCTCTAGCGCGGCAGCCACCTGCTTCTGGTAGTCGTCGGCCAATTCTGGATTGTCTCGGATGACCGGAGTCAGCAACTTGCAGTTCCAAGCCGGCCATTCCGCAGCTGTATCGATTGTCGGGCGTGTGGAATGGTAGGGTCTCAGCGTGAGGTCAACTTTGACAGGGAGGTGGTGACCTCCCTTGCGCCGTCTGCCCACCTCACAGTTCCGTAGCGTTGTGGCCTTGTGAGCTCGATGCTTATGCCTACACAGAAAAACGAAGTCGACAAAGGAACGCCTGGCCTGAGCATGCCCTTCATGAGTGTAGGTAAAAGACCCAGCCCTGCCAAAGGTGTTGCAGGCTACGCATCCAAAATCTGATCGGAACTCTTCGAGGGCCTGCGCATCCGTCGAGTGTTGCTGCTTGTGGAGCATGCCGGGGCTTGCAAACGGGAGGCGCTTCGAAATGGCGGTGTTGAAGTCACCGCTCAGAATCAACGTGCTGCCTTGAGGAATATGGCCAAGAGTGGTCCGTAGTTTGTCCCACACCCCAGCTCGTTTGGCCTCTATGGCAGCTAGCTCGGTTTGGGAGCCCCAGGCATACTGGTACGTATTTACAACCTCAACCATCCAAGGCCTTTGCCGTGTGCTTTGACGTGCAGCACACGTCCTGCGACCACGTGATTGAATCGGATGCTCTGCGCATCAGAAGCACTGGACCGCAAAACAATTATCACGCCTGCATGTGCCCTTTTGGCCTGTTCCCCAATGCCGCTGTTGATGCACTGCCAGCCCCTGGAGCTAAAATCCATATGACTGCGATACCAGGTTTCTTGTAAGCGTGCAATGTGAAACGGTTGTGTGTCCAACCATGTGAAAAGTTCATCCTGTAGGTTGCCAAGGCCCCCACAGTTCCATGAAAACAATGCAAGTGAAGACTCCGAACTCGAGGGTGCACTGCAGAAAGACCTGTGCTTCGGCTGCGAGGCTTGACGCCGATTGTCTGTGTAGGCACCAAGGAGGTCGCCTTCATCCACAGCACGCCCCTTGTAGTAGTCGGGAGGCCTCAGAGCCGATAGTGAAGATGTCTGTGCGGAAACAGTGCTGTCTGGGGTTACCATTATAGAACATTGTGCGCATACATGTTTTGGTTGATGGTTTGGGGACTCGCGCCTTTACATCTGTACCTGTTCCGCAGCACGGTGATAGCCACTGTCGCGGCTCGTGCTCAAAGCGCAGCTGTGGGCCCCCGCGGCCACAGGGGCAGCGCAAGGACTGTTAACGTGCCGGCGGAGACTTCATGTGCAGCTAGCACGTCGAGATTCTTCATTATCCTTGGAGGTGAAATCTCCTTTCTGATAGCCCGGCCAACCTGACATTGGATCTGCGAGCACCCAGCAACTAGAACCAGGAGGCAATATCAAAAACACTCGCAAAATTGAAACAAGTCGTGTCAATCCCATGAAGAGGCTGTGTTTGAGCTATATAGGTGCATATAGTAAGTGTATTAGCTACCACCAAACATAGCTGAGTCATACCAGGTTGAACCACATGTCGCGCTGTTCACGGCAAGTTCATTGGGTGCTTAGAGTTCTTGTTAGGTTCTTGTTTTGGAAGTCGGGCATTCGTCATGGAGATGCCACGTGACAGCATGCACGATGGTGGAGGGGCTCGGTCAGAGGTGTTCTGAGGGATTGCGAGACCATCGCCCCCGTCACTGCCATCACCGTCCTCATAGCCACCACCGCCCACCATGCACCACGAACCCTTCCCCACGCTTTTCAGCCCAGCCTTTCGCTGCCGATCACAGTCACTGCGGAAGACGATGCAGCGCGGGCACTTAAAAAATCACGCGCACGATTTGTGCAGCCTGCCCTGTGCTGCACTTGCTTCGGATTAAACGAGCGCCACTAAGCAGAGGTATGGAAGACATTGCTTTTAGGCCTATGGTGAACCATCTCATGGGGGAGGCGGTGTTTTGCCCCACAAGACTCCTACGAAATCATGATCCTGCAGGCGAGCGATGGTTTCAATGCCTGGTGCGGCTGATGCAGTTCGAGGAGTGGCTGTCAGTTTGGTGGTGGAGCCTTGTATTGTTTTATCGAGTAGTATCCCGTCATACTCATTATTTGAAAGCCTGGCGGCATGGGCGGTCCTGCCGCGCAGGAGTGTTATAGTAGCAGCACTGTGAGCAGTGATTTACAACTAGAGGGGGCTGATTGGCTGATTGCTGACTCCTTGCTGTAACGTGCCGGCATCCCACGCCAGTGCATCTTCGCTGCAGGATGCCATCGATGCCGGCAACTACATGTGGCTCCCTCCGTGCGTTTTTTCCTGCTGAGTTCTTCTTGCAGGCTCTTGCTAGCGTGTGATGTGTGACACCTGTGCCCGATGTCAAGTTGAAAAAGGGAAGCTCTGCATGTCGGTACGTCAGCCTTTTCAGATTTTTGGCATTGTGAAGATTGGATCTCGATGACTGGGTCCTTGAGGGATGAGCCAAGTCTACTCTGGAGTATCTGCGCAGTGACACACGCAGGGTCATTAGTTCTTTGCTGCGGGAAAGTTACATGTTTTTGTTCATGTATGTTTGCTGACTTGTGAACCTATACACTGCCACAGTGTTGGGCTCTAGCACTAGAGAATCTCGAAAAGCCCCACCCGCCCACTCCAGGTACCTCGGAGCTCGACCAGACCTCCGCTATTACGGGGAAGCCTATGCCAGCGGACGCCTTTCGGCTGTGCCTTCAGCGTGCCTCATGCTCTAACATACACATAGCCCCGCTCGACACTCAGGTGGTCGGACCCCAGGAGGGGTCGAGCACATCAGCCCACATTGGGCCGCCGCTGAATGCGCCGGCTTTCAGAACCTGCCTACCGCCATGTACTTTAATTCGTTCGCCCTTGTGCAATTTGCCCACCTACACCCGCCCGCGCTTGTGCAGGTACTTCGTGAACTTCGTCTTCGTCGGACATTGCTGCCTGAGAAAGTAACAGGCACACTGACTTCACGCCTACTCGGTCCCCCTGCATCAGGTGGACCCGTTAGTGGCCTTCGGCTTGGCAGCCACTGCCTCAGAGTCATCTTCAACAGGTGCGCAAGTTTCGATACCTGGCAGGCAGCAGCTCATCAAGAGAGTGAAGACAACTCACTCGGTTGATCAATGGTCGGACATGGCAAACCGCTATGCAGAGAGAATCTGGCTTCCAGTCAAAACGCCTCTAGGATTCCCTTTCAACTTCTTCTTCAGCTATTGCCAGCCACAGGGGGACAACCTTGATTGCGTTGACTACATCGTGTTTCTCAGTCTTCGCTGAAAAAGATATGGCCTGAGAGAGAGTAATGGTGTACAAGGTTCTGCGGCGCCAGCTACATTGGACGAACCAGCGAGCTTCCCAGCTTGCCAATACGATTGGGAGGAATGACACAGGATGGCGACAGATGGTGACGGCGTGGTCCTGGAAGTCAAGAAAGATCCAAGTCAGCGATCTACCTGACACGCAGTCACGAAGGATCACTGGGTTCATGGGTGCGTGTCCTGGTCCTATGCCGGGCCTGTGACCTTTCGACCTTTCTACTCGCATGCAATTTGTCATCCCGTTCACGACATGCATCCTGCTGTTGGTACTGACTGGCTGCTATCGCGTCTGGGGGAGTGAGGAAGCGGCGGCAGTCAGCATAAAATAGCTACAACGCCAGCGAGGAGGAAGTCGACTTGGCCGAGTTGCTGGGGTGAGGCTCTTGCGCAGGAAATCGGCCGCGGTAAATCCGGCGATGAAGCACACGTTCTGCTTTGAGGCCTGTTGCATGCTCAGTCAAAGGACAAAGTTCAACAAGTTTTCTGAAGGGCAGCGAGCGATCCCGTGCGCTGCCGTGTTTCACGGCTGACTTACCACTGCGCATGCTCAGCTACAACTCCCTAGGCCTACTCGTGTTCCAAGGATGTGCAATAGCCAGCAAAGGCTTGATTCTGAGCACAGCGCCAGCTTCCAAGCTGTGCACAAAGCGGCTTCGCTGCTATGCGCGTGCTACGCGGTCTCAGTGCCTGACAAATGTAAGTTGAGCCTTGCCGCTTTAGTTCTCTGTGGAAAAGGAGTTTTCAACAGACGAATCAGTGTCAAAGCTTTGTTAGCTCCGGGGCTCGATTGCTTCATGCCTCTTCCCGACAGGAATCCGAGCACCCTAGCATTTGGTCAGGTTCTTGGTGGGCTAGGTAGAGACTGTTGCGTTCTTGTCTCAGCCCAATGTGGTGCCCACGTGAAAAGGAATATGTAAAGAATTTCCTACACCCACCAAAACCAGCTTTAAAGCAGGTAATGTAGGAAGAAACCGGTCTTTCCACGACGGGATTTTACGGTCTTCAGGCGTGGCCGCAAATTTGAAAGCCCTGTTTCGAGTCCGGAAGCCAAGTTTTCTGAAAGGAGCGCCTAGAAACCCCGGTTCCTTGAGAATTACATACTTTGAAGCAGGTGCTGGAAGCCCAAGGTTTGTTGAAGAACCTTAAAGACATGTTATAATGGGATCTGAAAAGAAGGCAGTCCTCCAAGCGCACATCAAAGAAAGATAGAAAGATACGGGCTGATACGGGCAAGATACGGTGATACGGCAAAGGCACAGCCGCTCCTGACCGGCCCAAAACACCTTCTTGTTTTGCAGAACGGAGGATCGCGTGGATCGAGTCTCCTCAGAGCCCCAAAGGAAGTCAGCAACTGCGTCCCAGTAAGGGATAAGCGATCTTCGTCAGGCTCAGCAGGCCTGCTTTGCTGTCTTAACTTGCGTCACTCAGGAACAACATGCCTCTTCATCGAAGCTTCAGAAGACCTGCACAAGCATTTGCTCTGTCACGGAAGCTAGCTCTTGCTGAGCTTAGTGGCGCGGGGCCTTAGAATCCATGAGCCTAGCTACATGTCTCAGATAGGAATTGGTCAGGAACCAGTTCTGGGCTCAGAGGATGAGTAGCCTCTACCATGCTTGTGGCCCTCATTAGCAAGCTTGCTGCGAGCATTTGTCCCGGTTTCGTGCTAGGGGGAGGCCTTTTCTGTATAAGGCCGATCTCTGCAGAGATGTCCCGCCGTAACAGTCAATTGAATGTCGCTGTTCTATCCTTGAACCACTGTGACAGCAAGACATATGCTCATGCGTGGCAATTTTGCGCTCGCTTTAGTGTCTGAAGTTACACTTTCTGGAAAACCGGTTGGGGTTGTCGTGGTGGTACTAGCGGCTAGTTACTAGGGTTTGAAAACATAAGCGCTAAGATTTGAATTCGTATTCATATTCGTATTTCAACAAAGACCAATCAATAAGAAACTGCTGCTGCTGGACAACGCCGTGGGCGAAGCACTCCACGGGCGATGCGCGCTCGGAGTGTCATGACCACCATGTCTTGTGGCAATGTCCACGTTGTGCCTCCGTTGCTTTTCGGGTGTGCTCAATCGCTAGACTCGTAGTCATGGAAGTCGTTGCACGTGATGTGCGATGCGAACTAGAGCTCGGTTCACAGAAAGCCGAGTCCACTCGGGAAGCAAACACTCGTGCTAGTCTGACCGTCGCACGCACTAGTCGGCACAACATCTTGATGCCAATCGACTATTCCAAGTTTGATGGCTGCGGCGAGGACGAGGCCTTGACCTGGTCAGCCCCAAGCCCCGAGCAGAAAGGCAAGTCCAGGTGTTACAAGCATTCCACGAGGCTCTTCCACCATGGCGGCAGTGTTTCAAGCCTCACTGCAGTATCAGGATGGAGGTGAGGACATCCTCGATCGAGGTCGGGGAGGGCTGCACACTAGCTTCGAGCCTGCAGCGCCGGTGTGCAACAGGACATGGAGTGCAGTCCGATGGCTATACTGCAAACATTGCAAACAGCTTACAACATGCAGGGTGCAGGGACACTAGACGACAGCTACAGGCATGCGATGTAGTGTGTGCATCTGGGCTTCCGTGAGGGCTTCCGGCCTCCTCAGTGATATCAGGAAATTGGCAGAAGCTGCTTGAGCTCGTGAGAGCGGAGGCGGAGGCTCCTGAGGGACGGGGGCCAAACGGCCGAGCGAAGCGAAGCAGCGTGCAAGTGGTCCTGTCAAACTTGAACTCAGCGGGTGGAGCCTTGGACTGATGGGGCGCCCCTTGATTATAAAATCAGAACTTTCATCAACCCACAACTCGGAGGATGCAACCTTGGACTGATTGGGTGCCCCTGATTTTAAAAGCAGAAGTCCTATATGACTCTATGACCCCGAACTCTGAGAATATTCAATCTAGAGTCTCCATCTTAGCTTAATATACGAAAAAACTTACAACCCCACCTTACCAAACTATAAATAAAATCAACCCGAGAGCCCAAAAAACATCCGCAAAATACATCCGGCGAACAAGAACACGAACATCATCTTCTAAACCTATAACGGCGATTCCGCCGAGCAGTTCGCTTCCGATACACCGCGAGCCGGATACAGTTCAATTATCTCGAAATACAAATCAATAAAGAACCGATGGTCTAGCTAGTTACAATCAAAGAGGAGGAAGGACGATCAATAATCCCGGAAACTTTTTTAATCGACCCAACTAAACGGTGCGTTTCGTTATGTGGGATTTTGTGGTGACATGTCGGAAGGATTTGATTATTGGGGGTTCGGGTAGCTCGTGACAATGGTGTGGTATAGGAGCTGGGGTCAGTACGAGGGGCTGCATGGTGACGGGGTTTCGGGGCGACTCGCGATATGCGGGCAGGGTGTAAAAGTAATACTAATCGTCGTCGTCGTCGTCGACTGGAGGGATGGTGTCGTCCGTAAAAGAAAATATCATTACTATAATACTAGAAGATAATCTATAGCATTTCAACAATAAAATTATCTTCAATCTAAATATTTGCGACAAAGGTCTTAGGTAGTTGGTAGCTTTCATGAACTTGATTGAAATATAATGATATTTCATGAGATAACGAATATTTCTATTCGGTATTGATTTTGACGAAGAAGATATTCTAGCAGACAGTGTAAGATTGGAATATAATCTATATATATATATATTGAATTATTTCTATAACAAGATTCATCTGGAGATGAAACACGTGTCAGAAGAGTTCTAGAAAGATTGTAGTTTCTGTTTGATTGACTGAAACATATTTACGAGTCTTCTAATCGTAATATACTAGTTTTTTCCTAAAAATTATCCTATTAATTCGTATTTATGTATCGGCAGGTTCATTTGGATTATTTTTTTTGCTAGTGCCGTGTGCGCTGTGGTCTGGCGCACTTTGGCGCTTGCCCTGAAGAAAATATGCTGAGCTTTCGCTTGATGCCTATATACTGATGATGAGGGAATCTGGCGGTGTGGTCCGACT